TATAATACGCACCTAATATAGTAAAAGCAACTCCATTAACAAAAAACTACAAAAAAAAAAAAACCTAGGCGTTCTAAAGAAAAATGTACTAAGAAAGTAAAAAACAAAACCAACAAAAAAATGTTAAAGTTATGTTAACAATTAAACACAAAACAAAGGAAAAGAAAAGAAGAAAAAACAACTATATGCAAAAAACGACGTAGAAAGCAAAAGGAAAAACACGCATATATTTTATGAACAAGAAATTAATTTTTTGATAAATATGAATGTAAACAATGTAATACGTTTTATATTTGTTTTTCTTTTTTTTACGTTTTGTGTGTAATAATAATTTAAATATTATTTCAAGCAACTTTTTAAATATATACTTTTATATATACATACATATATAGACAGAGAGAGCGTATGTTTCTTCATTTTAAAACACTAGAACCATTTTTCTTTTTTAAACTGTTTTCCTTTTATGTTTACCAACAACCATTTGTTATCAACACCCAAACACACATACACTTAACACGACGGCTTCATTATTAATTATTATTGTTTTTCTGTACGATATGTATTTGAGCATATAGTTTCCTACTATCCATAAACCCATGCACTCTGATATACCAGGAACAACAGCAACAATAACAACATGATTTAAAGCTTGCACAGTGGGCCCAGAGCCATTTGCTTTTGTCTTGCACCTATGCAGCTGACACAGACACACACACACATCCACACACTTAAATATATTTTCTTGTGGTGTTGCATGCGGGCGTGCCTCTTTAACAATAGACTGAACTTTTTTAAACGGCTTGTTAATTTTTCTTAATTGTAGCAGCTTGTGTAGAAAAAATTCATTTAATTTTTAATGTTTTTTTTTCTTCTGTATAACTAGTTAATTTTTTGTTATATAATATATATTTTTGTGTGTTTCCAAAATATGTCATTTTTGTTTCCGTGAATTTTAATAGCGCTAATTTGTTTTTGTTTTTCTTTTTTCAAATCCGAAAAGCAAGATATTTAAGCAATTATGTTTTTCGTTTGCCTTTAGACAAATTTTTGCTCAAAACAAAGAAATGTTAATACAAAATTTACTAAGCAAATGAGTTATAGACATGATTGTGCGGTTGTATTTCAGAGCTATGCGGCCACAAATAAAAAAATTAAATGAATAAAAAAAAATTAAAAACAAAGAAGCTGTTTCTAGTTTTAGTAAACAACTTAAAAAGCACCTTTACAGACGCTTCCTTAAAAATACTTATGTCTAAGGAAACAAAATATCAAGTCAAATATTTTGCTTGAGAAATTATTAAAAATAATTTGCTGAAACACTCTAGCGTGTCCAAAAACAAAACAAAACACAAAGAACACTAAAAAAAAAATCAAATTTAATCGGAAGATGCAAACACACAAAAATTTTAAGTAAAATGAAAATATATGAAAGGAAACAAACGACAAATTTTTTTGTTAGCTATTTCGTTGCAATATTTTTTATATACCATATTAAGGAAGTAGGGAGGAGAATAAATAAAGAAGAAAACAAAACAAACGAAACGAAAAGGGAAAATCAAATGAAACAATGAGATCAAGTTGCAAAAATCATGCGTTTAAAATCGATTTCTAGCAATTACAAAATAGCAAAAATGAAAATCATATATACAATTTATATACAAATACAAAAAAAGAAACAAAAAAAAATATACCTATATATATACAACAATGACATTTGATAAGTAAAAAGATGAGAAGATTGGGGAAACTTACTAGTTTTATACGCATAAATGCCACGCCCACACACCACACACAAAGCAAAAATTCACACACACGCAAACACTTATACTAATCTACTGCAATTTAAAAAACCACAAAAAAAAACTTATTGATAAACAAAAAATAAATAATGATTATGTAAGCCGGAAGGAGAAAAGGAGTAAAACCAGATCAAGAGACATGAGAAAATTATTATTATTATTATTAAACTTATTATTATAGTAAATTTAAGAGCAAAATCGCTGACAAAACCAGCAGAATTAAAAATCTTAAAAAAAATGAGATATTGTTATATACTAGTAATTCTTAAGGCGACAAACAAAACAACAAAAAAAAGAAAACAGAAAAAAACTTAACAAAAAAAGCAAAGAAAAATAGAGTCAAATAAAATATTGAATCGAAAAAAAAAACCACCCGTATTTATTATTATTTATATGAACGAGTTCTGAGCTATCGAGAGCAAAGGAATTTTTATTTGTCTTTAGATGGAAGTTGATTGGAGAATTTCATTTATATTGTTGTCTGGGAACATATTTACTTTATAACTGAAATATTAGGTCACATCGTCGATTGTTTTGAAGATTCTAATTTGAACAGCTTTTCGCTTGAACATGTACCACGGTAAAACTTGCATGAGTGCTCGCGCTTATGCGATAGATTTACAAACGCAATCACTAATCGATAACATATTTTACTCACAACTTGTAGAAGAGGAAGAAGCAGTTGAGGATAATGCTCAAGTCGCAGAGCTTTCCAACGATTCCGATGCCCCACTGAAGCCCAATGTGAGTAGATCATAATCAAAATATAAATAAATATAAATATTTTAATATCCTGCTGTGCAGAATGACGAGGATGATGATTACGATCCGGAGGATAATCGCAAGAAGAAGAAGGGCAAGAARCGTAAGACCAGAAAAGGCGAGGAAAAGGGACGCAAAAAGAAGAAGCGTAAGAAAAATGAGAGCGAGGAGGACAGCGATTTTGTTCAGCACGACGAAGAGGTGGAGTATCCCAGCACCTCATCGAAACGTGGACGCAAGCGCAAGGAGGAGAAGCAAGCCCAAAAGGAGAAGGAATCATCATCCTCGGGTGAGTTGTAATTTAATATAGCTGTATGATGATTTATACTAATCAAGCATATATATTGTAGGCATGCCTTCTGTGGAGGACGTCTGCTCGGCGTTCAGTGTGTGCGACGTGGAGATCGAGTACAGTGAGGAGGAGCTGCAGAGCCTAACCACATACAGGGCATTCATGCATCATGTGCGACCCATATTGCAAAAGGAAAATCCGAAAATTGCTGCACCCAAGCTGATGATGCTTGTGGCTGCCAAGTGGCGCGAGTTCTGCGAGAGTAATCCGCATATACAGCAGGAGCAGCAGGGCGGTCAAGCGCAGGCGGCTGCTGCGGCGCCCGAAGCTGATGAGCCGCGTTCGTCGCGCTCATCGCGTAATGAGAAACCCGATGACATTTACGAAGAGGAGGAAGATGAAGAGGAAGAGGAGGAAGAGAAAAAACCACGTCGCAAGCGCAGCGGACGTAGCAGCAATAAAAAGGGACGTCGACCATCGGGCAAAGTGCCCACATTGAAGATCAAGTTTGGCAAGCGTAAGCGCGACAGCTCCGACGAGGAGCCCGATGCAAGTGGTGCCTCCGAACGTGATTCCGACTTGGAGTTTGAGCGCATGTTGCAGAAATCGGACGATAGCGCCGATGAAAAGGAAAAAGAAAAGGAGAAAGTTAAGCAACCGGCAGAGGCGGATGCCGCAGCTGCGGCTCAGGACGATGGGGCACCAGTTGTGCGCAAGAAGGCCAAAACCAAGATTGGCAACAAGTTCAAGAAGAAGAACAAAATAAAGAAGACAAAGAACTTCCCCGAGGGAGAAGATGGCGAGCATGAGCATCAGGATTACTGCGAGGTGTGCCAACAGGGCGGCGAAATCATTCTCTGTGACACCTGTCCACGCGCCTACCATTTGGTCTGCCTGGAGCCGGAACTGGACGAACCGCCAGAGGGTAAATGGTCCTGCCCCCACTGCGAGGCTGATGGCGGTGCAGCCGAGGAGGAGGACGACGACGAGCATCAGGAGTTTTGCCGTGTGTGCAAAGATGGCGGCGAGTTGCTCTGCTGTGACTCCTGCCCATCGGCATATCATACGTTCTGTTTGAATCCGCCGTTGGACACCATACCGGACGGCGATTGGCGGTGTCCGCGTTGCAGCTGCCCTCCACTGATCGGAAAGGCCGAGAAGATCATCACCTGGCGTTGGGCCGTGCAGCGCCGAGGCAGCAGCGAGGCATCCACCTCGAAGAACGCCAAGCAGGGCAGCCGTGTCCGCGAGTACTTCATCAAGTGGCACAACATGTCATACTGGCACTGCGACTGGGTCTCTGAGGTGCAGCTGGACGTCCATCATCCGCTGATGATACGCTCGTTCCAGCGCAAATACGATATGGAGGAGCCGCCCAAATTTGAGGAATCATTGGACGAGGCCGACACCCGCTTCAAGCGCATTCAGCGCCACAAGGACAAGGTGGGCATGAAGGGCAACGACGACGACGACGAGGCCGCCCTYGAGGAGCGATTCTACAAGAATGGCGTCAAGCCCGAGTGGTTGATTGTGCAGCGTGTCATCAATCATCGCACGGCACGCGACGGAAGCACCATGTATCTGGTGAAGTGGCGTGAGCTGCCCTACGACAAGTCCACTTGGGAGGAGGAGGGCGATGACATACCCGGCCTACGACAGGCCATCGATTACTATCAGGATCTGCGTGCAGTGTGCACCTCGGAGCAGTCTCGCGGCTCCAGCAGCAAGAAGAGTAAAAAGGGTCGCAAGACTAAGCATAAGCTGGAGCTCGATGATGAGGATCGTCCCGTTAAGCATTATACACCGCCGCCAGAGAAGCCAACCACGGACTTGAAGAAGAAGTACGAAGGCCAGCCAGCGTTCCTCGAG